AGCTGCGCGTGCGGAGAGAGACTCTTCCCCTCACGCGACACGATTCTTCTTCCCTTTCCCGTCGCACACACAACAGTTAAGAAATTAAAATGGAAAGGAGGCTCGCTGGGAGAGAGATAGAGAGGAGGGGCTGCCGAACCCTTTCCCGCCCCGCCGTCTTGTTTGTTTATCACGCCGGGCGGGGAAGGACGAGCGAGGCCGAGTTCATACCCTCGAGGTTAAACGCGCAGAGGCAAACAGCCAACCCCGCGCGGCGGCCCTCCTGCCTCCCTCGGCCTCAGAAAAGTGGCCCCGGGGCGGATTCATGACTCAGCGCCACGCGACACGGATGACACCACCCTCACCCCATTCCTGCCAGTGCTCCTTCCCCCAGTTTGTTTTTGGGTCAGGAGGACGAAGTCACGCGACCCTATTCCGAGCTGAAAGGGGCCACTGAGGGCGGTGGGTTCTGGCACTCCCTTGCACGAGGCGGGAGCCGCCGCAGGGGTCCTTAAAGGACTGTCCTTCCCACACTAACCGAACAAAGTCAGAGTCCAGGGGCACCCTTTAAGACCAACCAGGGCTGGCCCCAGCTTATTTTGCACCCTAGGCGAGGAACCCTTCTGCCCCCCCCCCTGCGCCCACCAATTTTCAAAAATAAATGCATTTTAGGAAGAATGAAAAACACAAATAATCAAGAAACTCCCAGAGTATGGGGCTGGGTTCAGTTTGGCGCCCCTAAGGGCCCTCCTGTTCTAGGCGACCGCCTAATTCGCCTAGTTAGTGAGCCGGCCCTGAGACCAACAAAGTCTTATTCAAGGTGTGAGCTTTCCTGTGCATGCACCCTTCGGTCAGGCAATGAAATGGAATTACAGATCATAGCTGTATGTATAGATGTTATGTATGTTAAATTAGCATGCAAAATAACCGGGCAGCAGAGTGAGAATGGTAGAATGGCCTGTGCCTACCTCACAATGCAAATAGCTTGTGGTCACATATCTAAGCGTTCCTACTTTTTTAGCTTCCCTGAAAGCAGAAAACTAGCAAGACAGAGTGCACTCCCACTGCTGGAAATGTTTCTATCTCTGAGAATAGATTCAGGTGGGTAGCTATGCTGGTTTGAAGCAACAGAACAAAGTTTGATTCCAGTGGCATCTTTAAGACCTACAAAGTTTAATTCTGGTATAAGCTTTTGTGTGCATGCACATTTCTTCAGAATATCTGAAGAAGTGTGCATGCACACGAAAACTTACACCCAGAATTATACTTTGTTGGTCTTAAAGGTGCCACTGGACTCAAACTTTGTTCTATATCTGAGAATGTTAGGATATCCTACCTTTGGTGTATCTCTACAGAGGTAGTTTCTTGAGGGAGGGCAAGAAAACATTAGCATAATTGTTCCAGCACACATCTACAAATTGAAAAGGAAACGCGATCAGATGCCCGCCCTTGCCCCGCAGTTTCCGGAAACTAGTACCTCCGAGGTACTAGTTTTTTGCCACGCAGTTTCGGCTGGAAGCCTCGGTTGTGCCACGGGAGTGCTACGCTTCCCAGATGTGCTGGTGAGATCGCGCCCGGAAACTCCGCCTGTTTTCCGTCTCACTTGTGTGGCTTCTGTTCCGTGTGACCGCAGCCTATGTTGGTCTGACGCAATAGAAAAAAGTAGGAGTCCGGTGGCACCTTAAAGACCTTTGTTCTTCTAGTGTGCATGCACACAAAAGCTTATACCCAGAATTAAGCTTTGTTGGTCTTCAAGGTGCCACTGGATTCAAACTTTGTTCTCTGTGTGAGAGTATTCAGAAATAACATACCTGCAACCTGAAATGTTCTACCAACTCCTTCTGCTGCATGACTTATATACACATTAAGGTATATTTACATCCCACATCTTGATAGCAAGATCCTCAGTGGCCAGTTTGGTGTAGTGGTTAAGTGTGCGGACTCTAATCTAGGAAAACCGGGTTTGATTCCCCACTCCTCCATTTGCACCTGTTGATGTGACCTTGGGTCAGTCACAAGCTCTGGCACAGCTGTTCTTGAAAGAGCAGTTTGTGTCAGAGTTCTCTCAGCCCCACCCACCTCACAGGGTGTCTGTTGTGGGGAGGGGAAGGGAAAGGAGTTTGTAAACTGCTCTGAGACTTCAAGTGAAGGGCGGGGTATAAATCCAATCTCTTCTCTTCTTCTTACAATATTCCTAAAATACTGAAGATGGGAGCTCACTCCGTCATGCGGCACACTCGGGTCTCGAACTGCTGAACTACCGACCTTCCACAGCCTGCAGTTCAGCGTCTTAACCACTTGAGCCACCGCAGCTCTTCTTACAATATTCCTAAAATACTGAAGATCCTGGAAGTATTGAACTCCCCACCCATTCCAGTATTTTAGCCCCCAGTGATAGTTGCAGGACGGTGTGCTGTCCAGCTGCTTCAACCCAGCACTAGTGACCTGCTGTATCTGGAATCCAAGCAGGGAGGAACTCAGACACCCCCAGATTAAGAACATAACAAGAGCCCTGCTGGATCAGACCAGTGGTCCATCTAGTCTCCTGTGTCACACAGAGACAGTAGAGCATCCTGTCTCACACAGAGGCCAACCAGTTCTGGAAGTCCAACAACAGGGCACAGAAGCCGAGGCCTTCCCCTGATGTTGCCTCCTGTCATAGTGCCACTGAATGTGGATGTTCCATTGCTAGTAGTCATTGGTGGACATGTCCTCCATGAATCTATCTGATCCCCTTTTAAAGCTATCTGTGCCTATGGCCATCACTGTATCCTTTAGCAATGAATCCCACATTTTATTAACTCTGTGTAAAAGTTGGAAAAAGTGCAGAAAAGGGCAACTCGAATGATAAAAGGGTTGGAACACTTTCCCTATGAGGAAAGGTTAAAGCACTTAGGGCTCTTTAGCTTGGAGAAACGAAGACTGAGGGGGAGACATGATTGAGGTTTATAAGATAATGCATGGGATAGAGCAAGTTGAGAAAAAGATACTTTTCTCCCTTTCCCACAATACAAGAACTTGTGGGCACTCAATGAAATTGCTGAGCGGTCGGGTTAGAACGGATAAAAGGAAGTACTTCTTCACCCAAAGAGTGATTAACACATGGAATTCACTGCCACAGGAGGTGGCGGCGACTACAAGCATGGACGGCTTCAAAAGGGAATTAGATAAGCATATGGAGCAGAGGTCCATCAGTGGCTAATAGCCACAAGGTATAGATAGGGGCTCGGGGGCAAGTGATGCTCTGTCTTCTTGGTGCTTGGGGGGGTCAACAGTGGGAGGGCTTCTAATGTCCTGGCCCACTGGTGGACCTCCTGATGGCACCTGGTATTTCTGGCCACTGTGTGACACAGAGTGTTGGGCTGGATGGGCCATTGGCCTGATCGAACATTGGCTTCTCTTATGTTCTTATAAGTAGTGTTTCCTTTTGCCTATCTTGCCAGCTTACCAGCTTTTGCCAGCTTCATTCGATGTCCTCAAGTTCTAGTATTAGGGGAGAGAGAAAGTTCTCTTTGTCAACTCTTTCCACCCGCTGCATAATTTTATAAACCTGTATCATGTCATCCCTTAGTTGTCTCTTTTCTAAACTCAAAAGTCCCAGACTCTTCAGCCTTTCCTCATAGGGGAGGTGCTCCAACCCCCTAATCATCTTATAGTCACCCTCTGCTGGAGTTTGACCTAGCTCTGCAACATCCTTTTGGAGATGCCGTACCATTTGGATCTATACAGGGCCATTACAATATCAGCTGTTTCTCAATCCCTTTCCTAATCATTCCTAATGTAGAGTTTGCCTTTTTCACCACTGCATACTGGGTTGACACTTTCATTGAGCTGTCTACTATGACCCCAAGATTTTTCTCTCTCTGACTCTCAGCAAGTTCAGTGTGACTCCATTAGCCTATACTTGAAGCTGGGATGTTTTTGTCCCAATGTACATCACTTTATGAAAGGAAGCCATAGCATGCCTCTTTCTCACACCAGCCACATCCTCAGTTCTAGAATGGTATGCACTGGATGTGCACCATGGCGTCCTCCCACAGGAGCTGGAGGTTCTGACATTGTTTGAGTGGCAGCCATGGTTTTTGAGTCTGTCTGAACTGAATGTGCCTATGCCCATAGCTCATGCCAAAACACAAGAGGACTGAAAGCTGCAGCTATCTGAACAGGTCAGCTGTTGCACACATAAACAGTCAAGTGCTTCTTCAAAACTTGGTTCACATATTATGGAGAGAGGGATTTCCATGTCAAGATTATTCCAGATGGGTAGCTATGTCAGTCTGTTGTAGCAACATAAAGCAGGAGTCCAGTGGTGTCTTAGAGACTAACAACACATTGCAATTGAAACTCCTGAGAGAGAGCCGGGGGTGGACTTTGCCACT